AATGCAAAGGAAGAGACTCGGATTCACACTCCGAACACAGCCAGGTGAGAAGGAGGAGCCAAGGAGATCCTGTTTAGAGTTTTCTGGGGTGAGTGTGGCCTGTGCTGCTGCCCCAGCACCCTCTGCCCCACCATCTCCACTCCCAGAAATGCTCTTCCAGGCAGAGGCCCTGTCTTTAATTTTTCACAAGATGCTTTCGGAGGTGTTTGGGGCTTGTTGAGGTTGAGATGCCTCTAGAATATCCATGGGGAGCCATCTGGGCTGGAGATACCCATGTAGGAGACATCACTGAGCCATCCCTGGAGGGCAGGTGCGAGGGGAGGAAAGAAGGAGTTGGCATAATGCCTGGGGGCACCCCAGGCCATGAGGAGGAGCCAGCTGAGGGGCAGAAAAACAGAATTGTTTAGTGACTTAGAAGCATCTCAGCAGGGGTTGGTGATCTGTCCACTGAGGCAAATGCTGATGGTGAAGAAAGATGCCTGAGAACTGGCTGTTGGATTTAGCACACAGAGATCATGTGCCTTGACGAGAGAAACCTGGTGGACTGGAGTAGAGGGAGAAAGGGGAGTTCTTACGCAGGGATTCAAAATGAGTGAGTTTCTCAGAAGGCAGGTGGGGTGGGGGATGGTCTGTAAGGTGGGGAAGCAACCCCGCCTAAGAGAGCACCAGGGGAAGACCGGTCAGAGGACAACTGTATTTCAGTATGAGCAAAGAGAAAATGTTCCAGGAGGAGGCTGGGGGCCTGGGGGCTTGAGGGCCCAGAGGAAGTGTTTCAGCAGATGGGGTCAGAAAAGGAATCTTCAGGGCCACAGGAGAGGGTGACCTGAGCTTCTCCAGGCCCTGACGCAAACAGGGATAATGGCCTAATGAGATTAGTCCTAAGTCTGGGGCAGAGAGTACTGGGGAGGCTGTGAGTTTGAGGGAGGGAGAGAGGGATGGAGGAAAGGAGGGAGGCAAAAGTCTGCCTGAGGAGAAGGCAGCACTCTAGGGCCTCTGCCCTCCTGCCAGGAAGCTCAGAGGCCAAAGAGGCCTGGGCTCACTCCTGACACCTGCAGAGGAGACCTCGGCTTGGCTAGGCTCCTTGGTCTTCTGCCAGCCAGGTGGGGCAGGGAGTGGCCTCGGAACAAGGCTGTTCCACATACTTGGAGGATAGAGAGCTCCCTGGGAATTTCTCTTCTCTAAATGGGGGGATGGTTCATTGGGTGCCAGGTGCTTGTTCTTGATGCATCCCTCAATTCCTGTTCCCCATTGCACTGTTGTGGGTGGGTGATGATGACAGTGGCTAACTCTATTTGGGATGTGCCATGCACTGTCAAAATTATTCCCATGCGTGAGAGGTGGGGAAACTGAGGCACTGAACAGTTAAGTGATTTGCCCTAGATAACCAGGCAGCAATGGAGCTGTGATTTAAACACAGGCAGTGACTCCCAAGTGTGTGCTTTTGGCCACTGGCCTTTCCCATCTCTCATCACAATGCTCTTGGGCTATGTATGGTCAAGTGAGCAGTTGCCTTTCCCATACAGCAGCCTGTTTGGGCCTGGCAGCAACATGGTTCTGTGAAAACATAGACATCTGAGAAAACAGGGCCAGAGTGTGCTGCTCAGGACTTCTCAGCACCAACAGTGGGTATCTGTGTCCCTGACTTGGGGGTCCTCTTTCCCCTTGTAACAGAGGCTCCTCTGTCCCTGGTTGATGGATTCTATCATCTCCGATGCCACCTCAGCTTCGAGATGCAGCTGGCATGGAGGCTGCCCAAAGGATGAGACACAGAGCACATCACAGCACACACTGCTGGGCGCCCCACTCTGACTGAGACGAGCTTGCCTTGTCATCAAGAAGGAAACAATCCCAGGAGGCCGCTGGCCCACAGGGAATGTGCTGGTGCTGGCCGTGGTGCTGACCATGCCTGAGCAGGCTCTGAGGAGCAGCCAGCACGAGCTGTACTGCCCCTAGCGAAGTTTAAGCCCCAAAGTAAACGTTTACGCAAATTTGACCTAGAGTAATGAGTAGAAACTTGCCTTAATTCCTAGACTTTCCTCCTTTACCGCCTGGAACACACCAGTGATTCACCTTCAAGGGCCTAGAAAGCCATATTTTGGGCCCAGCTATGAGACATACCTACCCAGAGAAGATCCTCCCTGAGAGGCTGCCAAGGAGAACAGTCTGTGTGTCAAGAAATCAATGGATTTCTTCCATCCTCTGGAGAGTAGTGACTGGGGAGGAGGATACAGAAGAGCAGCCACTTTTCTTGGAACTACAGAGCTGTGATCAGCTGTGTGTCTGAGGAGGGGAAGTGTGAGCATGCTGGAGCACACTCAGGAGGGCCTGCTCCTGTGACTGCAGAGGCCCCCCTAGTACCTCTGCCACCCAGTCCAGGGGATCTTGGCCCCGGCCAAAGGCTCTGCTAGTAGAAGGCAAGCATGATCCCAGGCAGCCCCACTCTGCCCCTACACACTCCCCTTGTCCCTCGTTCTGTTCTCCTGGGGCTCTGAAGGTCGTTGTAGGTGTTCCTGAGCAGGGGCTAAGGACCATTCTTCACATGAGGAGCAAGGCTGTCGGTCTTCCTCCTGGCCTCACCGCTGAGACCTGATGCCTAGAAAGTCCTTTCTCCTGTGCCCTGGCCTGCATCTCCTGATCTTTGCCTGTTCCCTCTGTTCCAGATATATTTATATTAGGGGAGCCCCAGAACTGCCTCTTGAAGGCCTTGGATGTGTGTTGTGGCTTGGAGCCAAAGCAAGGCCCCAAAGTAGCCCCAGAAGAGGTAACTATGAAGACAGTGAATGGTACCACATCTGAAGAAACAGAATATGGTGCCACAGCTGAAGAGGTAGAGCGCAGTGACGTAGCTGAAGGGACAGAGCGCTGTGACACATCGGAGTGGCCGTACTGGAGAAAAGTTGCCAACACCAGCGGGTTTCTCCTGATATTGATCACAGTCCTGTGCCACATCTTCTACTTCTAAAGCAGCTGGGGCCCAGGGGCATCTGGGAAGAGCCCAGACTCCCTCTTCACTGAGAGGAGGAAGTATTTCCTATCAGAAGACCCACGGATATGGGACCAAGGATTACGCTAATGAAAACAGTCTCTAGGTGTCATCGAGTACCACCAGCTGCAGGGCATGTGTGCTGAGAGGACAGAGTGAAGTCCATTTGTGATTACAGATACTATGCAAATGAGAACATCTGTTCCTTTACAAAATGAGTCATTTTCTCCAAATGGCTCTACTGAATAAATACTGACTTTCACTTTAAATTTAATTTTGGCTTTTTATCTCTAGATATAGTTGGGATTTTTGCTTGTGTTTACTTTACTGTCACCATTTCCTTCTTATACCCAAACTCCATTTGCCTTGTTCTTGCCTCTTTTTTAAAGGTGTGCCCTGCTGCAAACGTACTGTGTAGTGTAAGCACCCCCCCCCACACACACACACACACTGGGGTTCCCAACTGCAGGTGCTGTGCCCAACTGCAGGTGATGACCACACAGGCAAGCTGGAGCCAGAGCTGGCCCTGGATGGAAACTTGGGCTCCTGGCTGGATCAGCAGAGGGGCTGAGACAGTCTTTCCACTCAGTGCCGTCTGGCTACTGCCATGCCCTCTTTGCTGAGCCCTTCCCAGTCCCTCCCAGTCTGGCTGCTATTGGGATGTTATTGAGAATTGGGTCCCTTAGCTGTTAAGTATAGGCCACTCCTGGCTGTGTTTATGTAGGGGGTCCCTCTTCTGTGTCACACCAAAATAAATAATTTGTGTCTTTAGAAAAAGTTTTGAGTACCTTAAAGTGATTTGGGGAAACTCACTGGAATCACAAAAATCACACTCTGGAGGTTCATCCACATGACCAGTCCCTCATCCCTAGTTTAATCCTTCAGCTGACATTTTTGAGTGCCTACTATGTGCCAGATGCTACAAGGAAATAGCCATGAACAGAGTATATGGTCTATGGGAAAAACACAAACACTAGTAGTGATTGCCAGTATTTAGTGTGACCTGCTGTTTTTCTGCCTGGGGTAAGGGCATGATCACATTCAAGCCACAGAACCACCCTTTGTGAAAGGACTAGAATCAACCACATTTCACAGGAGAGGAGGCTGAGGCTTAGCAAGTGACCCTAGTAAATAGAGAGTTTGCACAAGGCCTGAAGCAGCCCTGCCTGACACCAAGAACACACACTGGCCCTCTACACATTGTGTACACTTCAGGAGTGCCCACCAGGGAGCCCCACCTAGCCTTCGAGTCAGGGAAGGCATCCCCCACCCTCCCCCCTTCTGTTATCTAGCTAGCTAGATAACAAGAGACAACCTAGGGGAAGACATAAGGCAAGCGTTCAAGGCATGTTTGAGGATGTCAAGACGTGGCCTGTGTGCAGAAAAACAGTGAGATGAGAGGGCAATGTGGGCTGAGGCATTACCTTCAGGCCTTACGTGCTTTGAGATAAGTTCTGGGAGCTTCAGCAGGGAAGTTATAGAATCAGATTTGCTGGCTGCTGCTGGAAAGATGAAAAGGAAGCCAGACCACCTAGCAGAAGACTGTTAGAGCAATCAGGCAAGTTAATGGCAGAGAAGAAAAAGGGAGGGAATGGCATCAAGAGAAGCCAACAATTAGAAGTAACAGGACTTTAGCGATTAGACTTCTGGAGCGGGGCCAGGGGTAACCCTCTGGCTTGAGGACACAAGCAAAAGGTACACCAATTCCAAAAACAGGCCACACTAGAGAAAGCAAATGTGGGAGAAAACCTGAGTACATTTTGGGACATGTTGAGTTTGAGTTGCATGTAGATACTTAATTGCCATCGTGATACTATTAAGTCTTCTGATCCATGAATATGGGATGTTTTTCATTTTTTAGCTCCTCTTTAATTTCTTTCAACAACATTTTGTTTTCAGCACTCAAGTTCTGTAACTCTTTTTACTAAATTTATTCCTAGGTATTTTATTCTTTTTGATACTGTTATAAATGGTATCGTTTTCTTAATCGTATTTTTGGATTTCTGTTGTGAGTGTATAGAAAAAGAATTTTTATGTTGATCTTGCAACTTTGCTGAAGTCATCAGTTCTAATAGTTTTAAGTGTATTCCTTGGGACCGTTCACATAGAAAATCATATAGTCTGCAAATAGAGATAGTTTACTCCTTTCTTTCAAATTCGAATGCCTTTTATTTTATTTTCTTGCCTAAGTGTCCTAGCTAGAACCTTCAGTACAGTGTAGAATAAAAATAGTGAGAGCAGAACCCTTGCCTTGTTGCTGATCTCAGGGGGAAAGCATCCAGTCTTCCACCATTGAGTACGGTGTTAGCTATGAGTTTTTGCAGATGTTTTGTTGAGGTTTCCTATATTCCTAGTTTTCTGAGAGTTTTTTTTTCTAAATAAATGGATGTTATATTTTGTTACTTTTTCTGCATCTATTAAGATGATCATGTGGTTTCTGTCCTTTACTCTATATATGTTACATTGATTCATTTGTATATTAAACCAACCTTGCATTCCTGGGATAAATCCCTGTTGGTCATGGTGTATAATACTTTTTTATTTCGCTGGATTTGGTTTACCAATATTTGGTTCAGTTTTTGTATCAATATTCATAAAGGATTATGGTCTATAGTTTTTTTATGTCTTTGTCTGGTTTGGGCATTGGGATAATATTAGCCTCATAGATGAGTTGGAAAGTGTCCTCTCTTCTCCTGTTTTTAGGAATAGTTTGTGAAGGACTGGTCTTAATTCTTGCCTGGAGACATTTAATGATAGATGTTAAGTTGGATAGAAGAGTCCAGAACTCTGGAGAGAAGCTGGGGCTGGAGACCTAGATTTAGGGGAAAGAAAGCAGCAGGCAAGCCTGCCAAGAAGGGAACCTAGTAGAGGAGGTCCTGACTAGGAGGACCTAGTCAGGCAGATGAGACTGTGCAGGAGAGTATGAAGAATGAGCTGTGAGAAACATTCACACCACTGGTTATGTAGAGAAAGAGGGTTCCAAAGGAAAACGCATAGCCAGAGCCTTTGAGGAGGACTAAGACAGCCGCCACGGAAAGGGAACATCATGCCTGGGCCACTGCATGGGTCAGTCACAAAGAACACGGGTCTCACAGCAAGGAGACCAGAGCCCTTCAGTTAGAACCCTTTGATGAAGCAGCAGGAGTGGAGCCAGCCTGTTGGGGGTTAAGGCGGGATGGCGATGGGAGGAATTGGAACCTCTGGCATACCTGTTTTGCTGAAAGAGAAAAGGTTTCACCCTACAGAAACTTTTTTGAAAATAAGATTTAACCTGACCCCAGCTGGGCCCAGCAGCCAGTGCCTTTGAGAACACATAGGCCCTTTTGGGCCTACTTGGGCTAATTCTCTAATTCCAGGGACACCGACTTCTTGATTTCTTCTAGGAATGTGAAAGCCCCAGACACTAAAAGGATGGCCAGAGGGCACTCCCTTGGGGATTCTGGTTCTGATGTTTACTCTGGGAGGAGTTGGCATGCCATGAGCTAGGGAGGTTCTGTCCCACAGGAAATATGGCTGTTGGGTGGTGATGTGATGAGGGAGACCTTGTTTGAGGCGGGGGAGCCTCTAAAAGCTCATAGGGAAAAATTAAGGCTCCAGCTCAGCCCCGACAAATGAGTCCAGCTCTTAATTTGAGTCCTGCTCTCACAGCTTCTCCAACAGAGGTCAGAACTGGCTCAAGAGCTGTCATCCTGCCAGACCGGGCAGGGATGGGTGGGGGAGATTAAAGGTTCTCCATGCATACCTGGAGAACCTTTCTCCCTACTTCATCCCAGCTCTCCAGCCTCCTCAACCAATCTCATTTGGGAACAGAAGCGAGGCAGGTGGAGGCACAGATGGAAGCAAACCAGACAGCCCTGGGGCCAGACAGACAGCAGGGGGAGGATTGGTGGGGAGCGGAAGGTGGCCTCGGGTGACTTTGAAGAAGAATGCAGCTATTTGGGAAGAAGACCTTAGGGAGTTATCCCTGTCCTAAGCACTCATCCTTGTTTGGGGCGAGAGGAGTTTCTTACAACTTGCCTTCCTCCAGCAAGAACCCATATGGGGTAACACTTTTGACCTTCCTTCCTGTCACCTAATGTGAGAAGGGGACAAAACTGGCTGAGCAGGGCCCTGCACAGCCACACCCCAAGGGGCTGGTCACTCCAATATCCAGAGCTTGGATGGTGTCTGGTCCAGCTGTTTTTATTCCCCAACGCAACTCCCTACCCCCCACCTTTGTCCCTGTAGGGCTCAGACCAGCCCTTTACCTTCTGAGGGGACTCTCGGCCCTAGCAGAAAGCATGGCTGTCACCTGCCTATTTCTGGGCCCTGAGTCCAGCCTATACTGCTTCACCTACCCACCAGTGACACGGTGGGCCAGGTATTTCACCTTCTGGGCCAGGTATTTCACCTTTGGGAGGAAAGAAAGAGATGTAATTATGCTCCACAAACATCAAGTGCCATTCAGATACAAGAGAAAGAGATTCCGCCCATTTATTCAGGCATGGAGCTCATCAGATCTGGCCTTTTAAGAGGCTCAGGGTTTCCACTCTATGACATTGATGGCAATCTGGGCTGCCCGTCGTACGGCTTCACTGGAATCCATCTCGAGGACACGAAAGTCGGGCACGTGGACCTGCAGGAACTTGCGACCCTCGGGAGCCTCAGCCAGCATGGTGAGTGCTTTGATAGCATTCAGGCGGGCCTTTCTCAAGGGGGAGCTCAGCAGATTCAGGAGTGGGTGGATAGCTTCTGCATCCAGGGCCGCATACTTCCCTGCAAGTCACCAACACCAGGCACTCCTGAGGGAGTATCTGCTCCACCTTCTCTGACCCCCTGTCCTCCTCTAGCCTCCAGCCTGTGCAGGCTCAGGGGAGGTACCACTTGCTACCTGAGCTCCTCCCTTACCCTCACGCAGGCCCTTGTATCCTCTGCCTCCAGCCTAGGCCAGGCCCCCTGATCTCCTGCCCCTCCAGCCCCCTAACTGGCTTTTACTCATCCATCCTGGTGCCTGTCCCACAATCCAGTCCTCACAAGGCAACATGAGTTGTCTCTTAAAAATTAATATCCATTTTTAATTTATGTGACAAATACTCCTTGAGCAGCTACTCTGCACCAGGCACAATAAGATACATTGTGCTTTCCTTCAAAACACATAGAGTCTAGTAGGGGACACAGATATTAATGTGTAAAGGAGACACCCCCGCTTAACCCTTCACTGCCTTCTCCCATCCCCCACTCCACCTCAGCTACTAAAAGTCAGGGTTGGCCCCTGCCCCCAACCTTCCTGCCCAGAGCCGTCTTCTCTTTGCTCTTAGGACTCATCCTTTGTCCTGCTCATTCCCGTTGTCCCAGAGGAGGCTTTGCCCCATCCTGTGCCCACTGCATGCTACACTTCTCCTCCATGTCACTTACCACACTACCACTCCCACCGAATTGTAGACAGCAAGGCTGAGACATCTGGGCCTCCACCACCCAGTACAGCAGAGTACTAGCTATCTCAGGAGAAAGTGGCCTCACATCCCTGGGTTTAAGCCATTGCTCAGGCTCCCATGAGCCCTCTGACCCTCCAAGAGCTCCCACAAGAGACGTTGCACGGAGGACGCCCATGAGATGAGCGGCAGTCAACATCCTGACTGCACAATCAAAAGGGGGATGTGGACTCTGGGAAGGCCCCAAATTCTCTCCCTCTGGTGTGTCTCAGATTCCACTATTCGGGTCAAGTAGGATGTAGCCGGGGGCGCCCTGAGTTGGGCAGCTTTGCAGCATGCTGATTGAGAATCAGTCCTCCATGGAATGCCAAGGAAGCCCAGGGCATGGGCTGGTGCAGGCAACTGGGGGCCATGGGAAGTGTCAGACAGATTTAGAGGTCACCACAGAGGGATGGACTGCCCTGGCCTCCAAGTGGGGGTCCCTTCTGTTAGCCCAGGGTCGGGTAACAACATATGGAAACCTGACTGGCTAGGAATCCTAGGATTGGGGAGATAATCTTATTTGCGCTTATGCGCATGCGCGCGCGCACACACACGCACACACACACAGTTGAGAAGAGTAATTTCAATCAAGAAACCCCACGGAAGCAGGGCTCTGGGGTTTACTTAGACCTTGGGATAACCGAATCATGGATAGCAAATTAGTCCCAGAATCTCAGCTCACAAGGAGCCTGGGTTGGAGGCAGGAATTCCAGGCCCACGGAGTAGCCTAAAGGGATGGGACAGAGGTCTTAATGCAAGTGGCGGTGTGACAGGGAAGGGGCGCGGGCTGGCAGCCCACTATGGCCTAGAAGAAGAGGGAAGGCAGAGCCTAAGACCCAAACTTGAAAGCACTTCAGCAACAGGCCAGGAGTATTTGGGTAGGGCAGGGAGGGGGCAATACCTGGACACTGAGCACAAGATGAGGAGCTTTGGAAAGTTGGCCAGAGTAGCCAGCATGCTGAGGGACTGCAGTGAACGGCCCACCCCCATCCCGAGTTAGCTCCAATGCCCACACAGGACCACCCCACCCACCTGGATGCCTGGCCAGCAGGCTACCTCACCTGCAGTGGTCACCGTGGCATACATGAGGGCCCCAGCGGCATTGGCTTGCACCTCCTCCACCTGGTCTTTCAGCAGGTGCACCAGGATGGGGATGACATCATACTGCCATACCTGTTTCTTGCCCTCTAGAGGGATGCTGGGCCAGAGAGGGGGTGGCTTTGCTTGAGGAGAGGAAAAGAGCAGGGCCCGGGACCACCCAGGGGGACACCAGAGGAAAGGACTTATGTTGGGACCATCCCTGGTCTGGGTACTAGAGTACAAGGGAGCATTGCTGTGAGGTTTGAGCCTTACTCCTACACTCAGACAACCTGAGAGCATGGCCTGGGGCCGCTAAAGTCAAGACCACCCAGAAGCCAGGGGTTGATAGAGCCTTGCGCTAAGTAATCTTGTGAAGGAGTGACCAGAAGTGTCCCCTGGCTCTAAAATGGGGAGGAGCAGGACCCAGAGTGTGAACCACAGGAATTTTCATTTTGACTCCATAAGAGTCCTAGCTGCCAGGGCACAAACAGCAGTCACCCTCAGCGAGATGTTTTTTGGTCCCTTCTAATCCTTGCATTGTATAAAGCTGTGAAAATGAAAGTGGTGGACTCCCCAAGAGCTTCCCAAACCGGGAGAGGGCCAACACTGTCCCCCAAAAGAGAAGGAGTCCTTGGGTCAGGAAATGCTGCCTACAGTACCTACGGGAGCATCTCAGTGCATGTCCGTCCTGCAACCAAGGACCCCAAGTCATTTAGTTGAATCGACCTTTCCCAAATTTGCCACCCACAGAACCTTCATGTTGGCAAAACTCTTAATAACATCTCAAAATACAGGGGTGTCTTGTGTCCCAGTCTGGGAAGTAGGGGGTTAACCAGCCACCAGCTCTGACATTATGAGGCTGCTGTGCTGTAAGGTCAGTGGACCTCCGCCCTCGGGAACATAACCAAAGATGCAGAGTCCTGGGCCCACCTGCAGGGCTTCTGAACTGAGTGCTACTAAGGCAGGAGCAGGGTTTCTCACCTCGCACCGCTAGACTCTTTGTGGGGGGGCTGTCTGTGCATTGTGAGATGCTGAACAGCATCTCTGGCCTCTACCCACTCGATTCCAGGAGCACCCCCCAACTTTCACACTGGAACAACCAAAACGGTCTCCAGACAATGTTGCATGTCTCCTATAGGGTCAAAGCCCCTGTCTGCGAACCCTTGAACTTGCTGCAAGGCCAGGGGCGGCTCAGTTGCCTTCTCAGGGCCTCAGCAGCCGGCCCAGGGCTGGCCCCTCCCGCCCCATCCACACAGCTGGGCCTCACCTGACGGCAATGAGAGTGCAGGCGGCTTTGCTGCGGATGTTGTCATTGGCACTGAGGAGCTTCTCCTTCAGGAAGGGCACCACGCGGCTGCTCAGAGCCTCAGTGGCGTCCTCCATCAGGCAGGCCGCCAGTGTGTCCAGGAGGAGTTCCTGGATCTCTTCCTCCTCCCTCTGCAGCTTCCACACCAGCAAAGGGATCAGGCCGTTATTGACAATGCCCTGGGCCCCTGCAGGACAGGAAAGGACACCTTACCCATTCTGGGTGGCATTCAGAGATGAAGAGAGTCCTGCAGAGCCTGCAGGAGACTGGACCAGACAACTTGCAAATGCCCCCGCTGCCAGGCAGAGGGACTGAGCAGCCAGCAGGAGGCTGTGGGTGACGAGCGGGAGTGGGGGATATGAGGCCCCAGAGGACTTAGAAAGGTACCAGGCTTTGGTCGCCTATGACTGGAGGACGTCAGCCTTAAAGAGGTACTGAGCGGCCTGAGAAGCAGCAGCTACCCCTCAGAGAGCATGGCAGCTCACCCAGGCACACAAGGAGATCTCCCCGCTTCCCTGCCCTGCACCAGAGGGAAGCACAGAGGGTAGACCAGCCAAGCCCCTCCTTCTCACCTGCAACATCTCTAAGCTGCTAGAGACCCCAGACCAGTCCGGCTTGGAGTGGAGTCTGAGTGGGAAGATTTAGAGTGAACAGGCCAGCATCTTAGCCACCAAAAGGCTGCGCCCTCAGACAAAGGTGACAGGAAATCCATAGACTCTGGCCAACGGGTCTTAAAGGGGCCTGGTGCCCCAGGGGAGGGGCTCCAAATGGCACGGCTGGGGTGCTGGGTCTGGGATAAGCACAGCAGAAAGCCTCCTTCGTGAATGGGCTCCACCTTGCTGCTTCCAGCCCTCATCCCTCCTGGGGAATGTCTGCATGTGGCTACCAGGAGGAGAACGCAGAACTAGCCCAGGCAGCACTCCCAGGGGGGTCTAGTTTCTGTGTGCCCAGAGAAGCCCTCATGGGAATGAGCCTTGCTCCGCCAGGGAAGGCAGTCCTTCCCCATTGCACATGGGTGGCTGTCACTACTGCCCTGCAGCCCATCCTCTCCCTGGCCAACCCAGCAGCCCACAGCACCCACTGATAAGCCATCTATAGCCCCCACAGAGGTGGCCACTGGCAAACACCTTTGTCTTCCGCTCTCTCCAGCTAAACCCTCTAATTTACTCTGGAGAGACAAATAAACAGGTTAATTAGCCTAAAGGTCTCTGAGTGCCAATTAGCACCAGGGATTTCCTCTTTGAAGACACCACCCCAGCCTTTCTCCCTTACTCCCTAAGGACATCAAACGGCAGGTGCCCAGGGGAGAGAGGAGTGGAGTGGGATGGGCAGAGAGGCAGGGCAGCAGGTCTGGCAGCTCCCAGTGCCCCTGGCCAGCTTCTTCTTGCGGTAGTGGAGCAGTTATTTGTTCTAAGGCCACTCACGACTCAGGAAAAGCAGTTTCTTGTTGATTCAAGAGTACTGGGCTTTTTAAGATTTAAAACACACAGATTTAAAAAAAAAAAAAAAAGCCTAGATTGCATCCAGCTGTGTGACCTTGGACAAGTTATTTAACCTCTCTGATTCTGATGTCCTCATTATTAGAACGAGCCTACCTGGTGGGGGTTGTGCAATGTCAATGGGATAGTGAGTGGGAACATACTCTGTGTAAGGGACTGTCACTGTGTACTCAGGACATCTGCGTCTAGCACAGCAAAAAGTTTCCCGAATTCCACCAACATTGAGTCCTAACTACAACAAGCAAGGGCCTGTGGGGAGGGGATGAGGGATGAGGAGTGGGATATGAAGAGGAAAATGGTAGAGTCCCTGCCCTGCTGGGACTACTTCTCCTGGGGGCCTGAGCCCCTTTCCCCCTCAACCCCTCCCTTCCAGCCAGCCCACTGCCAGATACACACCTGGGCTTCCTGCCCTCACTCCCATTCCCACACAGGCACCTGCCCACAGGCTCCCTACCTGTCCCAGCCATGGGGCCCTCTTGGCCACGACCTGGATGGCCCCTCTCCACTAACACAGGGGAGGTAACAATTTGACTTTCTAAGAAGGATTTTGTTGGCTGATGGGGAAGGTTCCTGGCTGGGGACACCTGAGCAAAGGTCTGGGGGTGAGGAATTTGTGCATCGTCCGATCGAGGCTCAATTGTGGCCTCACTTGCACCTGGGTCTGACCTTCCGGGAAAACCCATGGAGAACTAACTGCTGCTGCTGGAGCCACAGGACCAGCACAGGCTTGGGGTGAGGGGGCGGGAGCCCAGGGTGGGTGTCAGAGTCAGAAAGTCTAGTGTTGGAGGTTATCACTGCCACTGCTCCCCAACTTGATGAGGAAACCAAAGCCCAGAGAGGCAACTCAAGTGCCCGAGGCCACACAGCAGATGGCGCCAGGCCAGGGCTCTCACCTCCTAGGGTTTCGTTTCTCAGGCATTCGTCCCAGGGCCTCTGCTCCTAGAAATACTGAACACCAGGACCTGGGTTCTTTTTGAGACAGAGGGAGATTAAAAATAAAATGCATGCCTCTCTGCTCGTTCACTTTGCTTCTTTTCAGCTAAAAGGAGACTCGCAGGCCTGGCTATTTATAACTAACCCAGATCTGCAATGGCTTGTTCAAGTGTGTGGGGAGTGGGGCACACAGACCCCAAGGAAACAAACGGGGGAGACCCACGTGGCCCCACCACAGCCTGAGAACAGGCCAGCAGGGATTGAGGAAACACGACAGGTGCGGTGCAGAGCAGAGTCAGCCAGGAGGGGACCATTGCCAGAGGTTCATAGACAATGAGATACCTCAGCAAATGGGGAGACTAGTGGGAGAGTCATCAGGGACCGGTCGTTACAGGGCAGGTTGACACACATGTAGATGAGGAATTCCAGGATCCTAGGGGCTCTGAATGTGCAGGAAGGGAGGCCCAGGGGAACTGGGCCTCATGGGGCAGAGGGGCAAAGGTGCAAGGCATGGTGTTTGGGAGGGGCATGCCATGGATGTTGCTAGGATAGGTTCAGTGGTTGATGAGCCAGAAAGCTCCACTGGGATTGAGGGTCACGATGTCCATGGCGTGGACCACCCTGCAGTTGCAGTTTGGTCATTTTCTGGGGGAGGAGTTGATGCCACCTACAGAGGCCTCTCCTTGGCCAGCTGTCCCTGCTGGGTTGGTGAGGTGCCAGGTGGGCTCAATCACCAGGGCCCCCTTCTTCTTTTTACTGGAGCCGCAGCTGTTGTCTCTGGTCCTGTTCAACCAGCAAGGACTCAGTACGGAGCACTGGCCTCAGCCCTGGTCTACACGTCCTTGCCTGGCACCCTGGGCCCACCATGCCACATCATGACCCACCTGTTCAGCTTTAGCCTGGTGTGGCCCCCACGCCCTGAACTCCTGGCACACTGACTCCCACTTGTGCCCGCCTTGGTTCATGGGGACTCTTCTCTGTCCTCAGCTTACTTGGCCTCGCTCGCAAAAGCATGTGACATGGCTGACCATGTCTTTCTTCTCAACACACTCCCTTCCTGGGGCTCTGGGACCCTCCACTCTGTGATTTCCTGGCCACCTCTCCAGCTGCTCCTTCACCTGCATCCTTAACAAGTGCCATCCCTTCCTCCAGAATCTCATGTGGGCACCCTCCTTGGTCACTCACCTCTGCCAGAGCCAGCTCCTTCTCTCCATGGCTACAGCCACCACACTGCCATCTCCTGACACCCTGTCACCCAGTGATCCCATGGCCCTACACTGAACCTGGCCTCATACACTGACTTCTCTGCTTTATTTTCTCTAGGCTGACTAGTTGACATTTTTACTATTTAATTCTGCATATTAGGACAATGCACATTATGGGAACATGCCTACTGTAAATATGAAACAAAAACTTGCTTTCCTCCTTCTCGAATTTAAAAGGCTAATCTTAAAATTCTCCAGTGGTTCTTAGGCCAATGTCCCCAATCTTACACAAGGCCACCCACCTGGTGTGACTGTTCCCAGTCTGCTACAGCCTTATGTTTTGGCATCCTCACTAGGTTCTTCCAGGCCTCATGATCCTTCATGCCCAGTGCCTTCCCCACCTAGGAACATGCTTCTCTCCAGAGGTCCTGGTGCCCAGTGCTCCTCCCACCACATGCCCCAAAGCCCTGGTGGATCCGTCAGTCCTCACACAACTCTAATGGTGAATTATATTCTGCTTTCTGCCACTGCCTCGAAGACAAGAGGGTCTAGCAGGCAGGGCTGGGTCTGTCTAAATTCTAGAACTGTGCCCAGCACAGAGGGGCCATCAGTAAATGATTGCTGTATGAAGGATTACAATCATTGATTCATACTGTGTGACCTCTCACTTAGAGGTGGCCATCAGGATCAGGCGAGGGAGGCAGCAGCTGCCCCGTTAGGCCCCTTCATGGGCTGGCCTCTGCTCTCCTGCCTGGACTGCTGTAGAGGGTCATCCCATGCTTGCATCAACTCTGACCCCTGATCCAGCCCTCACTCATCTTTGAACATGTGCCAATGTGCATGTCCCCAGAATCATCCTCTAGGGACAATCTATTGATGTCCCCTTTTAACAGAAGAGGAAACCAGAGTTAAGCCAAATAAGTCACCCAAGGGTATACGGATGATGGCAGCAGAGCTGTGCTTCACCTTCAGCCCCCTCTTGTCTCTGATCCAACCCAGGGCAGGGCCTGTGCCCATTGTCTTCCTGGTATCATAGCTATTGGCCTCTGCGTGGTCCTCTGGGCAGAAGCCCAGCTTGACCCAGCCCAGTGCTATCAAGGACACACGCACAGAGGAGCCCTCAATTGCTGGTCCTCATTGGCCTTGTGCCAGGTCTAGGTTCACTTCAGTATGCTTATCACCAACATCTGTCCATCCCTGTTTAGGCAGCCCCTTTGTAAGTGGGGGTAGGCAGTACAAGAGTCTCCATTCCACAGCAGAGGAAACATTTCCAGAGAGGACGATGTCAAGATGCCACAGCATCCAGCTAGCAGAGCCTGCCCCTTGCCCCCTGCCTTCTGACTATAGACCTGGGCTGGGGCCACCACCCCATCTACCTCTGCCAAAGGTCAGCTCTAGTGCTTCTGCCTATGAATGGAGTGCTCCTTTTAATATGACCATGAGGTCTAAGTAATAAGGACCGTGTTAAATGGGAGCATCTTCATTCTACCAGGGATGATCTAGGATGTACAAAGCTTCAAGTTACCATGATGGAGAAGACAAAGAGGGCA